CGAGGCGCACGTAGTGCGCGGGGATCACCAGGGTGGGCATGACGTTGCGGTAGACGCTGTCCTTAAGGTGGTCGATGGAGCCACAGAAGATGAGCTGCCCCGCCTGGCTGAGCGACGGCGGCCGCGCCAGCTGGTCCACCGACTGAGACAGCAGGAAGTCGGGGGTCTTGCTCTCGGCCGCCCCCTTGTGGCCCAGGTAGTGCTCGAAGGGCGGTGGCGGCGAGGGCGGCTCCTGCAGGAAGGCCGCGGTCCCCGAGGGCCCCCGCCGGTACTCCTCCAGGCCTGGCTCCAGCCCGCCGGGACCCTCGACGGAGCGGGCGCCCTTGAGCCCGGCGCCCTCGCCCCCGCGGGCACCCGGAGGCTCGGCGGCTGGGCGGCCGGCGGAGCGCGGCTTGGCACGGAAGAAGTCGTCCCGGGAGGCGGCCAAGTCACGGGAGCTGGAGAAGGCTGAGTGGAGGGGGCCTGGAGGCGGAGCCTCGGGATCCCCTGACGGGGCTGGCTCCAGGGGTCCCCCACAGATGAGGTGCAGCTGGGACATAGAGGTGGCCTGGTCCCTTTTGTTACCGTCAGAGGGCCCGGAGAGCTGCAGCTTGCGGTGCTGTTGCCTCGGCTTCAGGCAGCGCCTCCTGGAGACGGGACAGAGCGGGACCGTCAAGGAAAGGGTGGAGGCCAGAGCAGCTCCCTAAACCCGCAGTTGGAAGATGGGGGATGGATATAGTTGGAGGAGTGGGGACAGTGCCTGGGACTCAAGAGAGAGGTTGGGGAGCCCAGATGGGTCCTGGGAGAGGTGTGCGGAAAGAGCTTGAGAGTCTGTGGGGGGAGCAGCCAGCAGCTGTGCCCATTTGGGCCTCCCTCGGCATAAACTGCACTCCTTGGGACATAGCAGGTGCGGTGAGAGCTGGGGAGAAGCACCTAAGCCAACCAGGGGCATGTGTGGCCTGAGGACCCCTGAAAGTGACGGCTGGGTGGTAGAAGCGGCCACAGAGTGTCCCTGGAGGGGCCTGGCCTGCAGCTCCTGCCTCCTCTCCCCCGTCTTTTGGTCTTTGCATGTGCATATGCAGTGCTTTCCTGTCAGGCCTTGAGGATCGAAGTTGTGTTTTATGCATCTTTGGGGCCTCGAGCACCCAGCACAAGACCAGGCATGGAGCTGGCCTCAGTCAGTGCCTGGGATGAGAGGAGGATTGGGAAGCAGTCGGAGGGGATGCGGGGCATTCACCGGCAGTAGTAGATGAGCAGACACAGCAGAATGAGCACCAGCAGAGCCAGAGCTGCCAGGATGGTGAGCAGGAAGATGGTGTGGTAGGTGCCGATGTCCTGGATGCCCGACGTGATGGTCACCAGCCCTGTGCGGGGCAAGAGCTTAGCATTCCCAGGTGTGGATGTCCCTCCTGCCGTTCAGAAGGAGTCCACTCTCCCAGCCTCCCTTTCTACCACCCACCGCCCCTGCTGTTCCCCCACTCTCACCAGCCGTGGGGGAGGCCATGGCAGCCGCCCAGTACCCCAGCTGAGGGGAGATGAAGGTCCAGTAGAGCTGCCGGCCTTCCTTCCGGATCACACCAGTGCCATTGCGTACCCACAGCCCTGGGAGAGGCAAGGGTTTCATCAAACTCAGTGTCCCCCCAACTTAAGTCCCACTTTCTTTCCCCAAACTCTAGCACCTGCACCTCCTTGAAGCACTCACCACTCTTGGGGTCGAACCTCCAGGCTGGAATGCTGGTGCCCACTGTGAGGGCACGAGGCTCTGAGGGCACAGGCAGGGACAGGTGAATGGGGCCTGAGAGCGGCACCTCTGTCCCATTACCTGCCAGCAGGTGCACGCTCACAGCAGCCACGGGCATCAGTTCCAGCCAGGAGCTATTGCCTGCAGGAAGGGGACACAAGGGATGAGGGTTAAATCCTGGTGGGGGGAACATCCCTTCCATGGCTGGCACCCAGCATACCTGAGCTGGAGGCCTCCGTGCCCAGGAAGGCAGGGAAAGCCCACATTTCGTGCTGGGTGCTGGCAGGTGTGAGCGAGGCCCAGAGCTGGCTGTAGGTAGAGCTGACAGGTAGGCGGGCAGCCCGGCGCTGGAACTGCACCCAGGGCTGGGAGCGGGCACCTGGATGGAAAGAGGGGCTGCAGTGGCCTGGCCAGGGACAAGGGTCCCCAGGGACCAGAGCAGAAAGCAAGTATCTAAAGAAAAGGGGAGCCAATGGGTTAGGCCACTTGGGAAGGCCAGGAAGGGTGGTGACTTTGGGGAGAGAACTGGGCAGGCTTAGAATGATAACCTAGAAGGGACATGGACCTGTAATCTTCTGGTCCTGGCTGTGTGACCCCCGAGCAAGTTACTTGCTCTCTTGGGAACACTCTTT